GATGTGAGAGCACATCTAACTCCATCCCTAGCAGCAGCAAAGTCTCTGAAGAAGGTGACAAATGAGCCACTAACAGCTTTTTGTCTGGGAACTTGGAACTTCAACCTTCACCAAATTATTTAATAAGACCTCTCATTTAATTCATTCTAACAATACCAGGACTACTTATGCTTTGTGGCAGATTCTCTTATACAGAAACTGTTTCACTTATCCAGAATCTGCTCTCTTTTTATAGACCAGGATTCCAGTCAATTCCTGGAACTCTGCAGTCAAGGCTACTTCAGGTTTAAGGAATGAGACACTCAGCATTGCCTACACGTTAAACAGACATCCTAGTGATCATGTGAAGTCCCGTTGCTTGAGAATACTCAACCTGCTTTTGACTGATAAGTATATTTGATGTTATTATTGTTATTTGACCAATCTCTGCATTTTTCAAAAGGACACCTACCTTCAGGGATGTATAAAAAGTCAACAAATGCTCAGAGATGACATTGGAAAAAAACAGCAGTTGTATAAAGCAAACATCGGGCTCTTAAGTTCAAAGTCAATGGACTTTTCCACAATAATCTCCCCAATGTTCCCTTCTTTGAAGGGGATGGAGATGAAGGGGATGGAGAGGGTCACAAAGAGGCTTTGCCCTCTTTTTATTTATTCAGAAAGTATATTTGGAAGTAGCCTGAGGATATGCATGCTCTTGTATCGCTGATGTTCAAAGAGTATTCTATTTTCAAAGTGTCTATGAGCCAAAACCTGGCAAAAGAAAGCAATTCTTTCACGGATGTGAATTTACACGACATTCATTCTTATAATCTTTCACCAGCTATCACTGAATATCTGTCAGGAACTGCACTAGGATGGGACAATATAACTGAAAGAGAACCAAGCACTCTGGTCCTCAAGGAAATCTCAGGCGCATAAGATTTAGACTATCAAGCTCCTGGCAGCAGCACAACCTGCCAAGGACCAGACTACTCATATTCCAATACATGTCATCAAAAGTATGAGAGGCGCCACTCCTGGTGAGGCTGTGCACACCCAGACTCTTCTCTTTTGTGGTTCTAACCACCCGGAGCATTGGTTTATGTAAATTCTCACCACTAAAAACTGAAATCTGAGAGGCAGACAAATTTGAGCTCAATATAATTGCTAAAATTGGTCTAAAGTTATTGTAATTGTACTGATTATTTTTTTAAAATGATGGATCCCTCTTTTACCTCAGATCTGTTTAGCAGTTGGAGGAAAAAATAACAGGAGATTGAAAACCTGAGTACCACTGTCTCCTAAGGGACAGGGTGCTATGAGAAAGCAACCTTCTCCAGCGATGCTCCCAGACTGCATACATGAAAGAGTCCAAAGAAACTCCTCAAGCTTTCAAGATAAGTAGCCATCTTTCACAAAATGTAATTATATGTTTACCTCATGGAATATAAGCTTTGTGAGAGCAGAATTGTGTTGTTTGCTTTATCTTTAGCTCCTATCATGCAGTGGCATGTGATATGTATTGTTAACAGACTGATTGACCTTTAGAAGAATCCACAGACCAAACAAGTTAAAACTAAAAGAAGAGATTTTCTTCTTCCAAGTTTTTATGTAAATTTCAATCAGTTAACATACAATGTGATACTAGTTAAGAGTGAAGGATCCAGTGATTCATCACCTACACATGACACCCAGCGCCCATCACAAGAAGGGCTAAAAAAAAGGCCCACTAAAGAGGGCTCTTTAGTACCCATCACCCATTTAACCATGTCCCCACCCAACCACCTCCCCTCTAGTAACCCTCAGTTTGTTCTCTAGTTAGGTGTCTCTTTTTTGGTTTGTCTCGCTCTCTTTTTTTCATCTGTATTGTTTCTTAAATTCCATATATGAGTGAAATCATATGGCATTTGTCTTTTTCTGACTGACTAGTTCCGCTTAGCATAAAACTCTAACACTATCCACGTTGTTGTAAATGGCAAGATTTCATTCTGTTTGACAGCTGAGTAATATTCCACTGTATATACGTATACTACCTCTTCTTTATCCATTCATCAGTTGATGGACATTTGGGCTCTTTCCATAATTTGGCTATTGTTGATAATGCTGCTATAAACATCGGGGTACATGTATCTTTTTTTTTTTTTAAGAGAGAGAGACAGAGAGCGACCAGGGGAGGGGCAGAAAGAGAGACACAGAATCTGAAGCAGGTTCCAGGCTCTGAGCTGTTAGCATAGAGCCTGACATGGGGCTCGAACCCACAAACCGTGAGATCATGACCTGAGCTGAAGTCAGACGCTTAACCGACTGAGCCACCCAGGTGCCCCTGCGTGTATCTTTTTAAATCAGTACTTTTGTATTTGGTATTTTTGTATTTTTGTATTTGGGTAAATACCTAGTAGTGCAATTGCTGGATTATAGGGTGATTTTATTTTTAACATTTTGGGGAAACTCCATACTAGTTTTCAGAGTGGTTGTACCATTTGCATTCCCACCAACAATGTAAGAGGGTTCCCCTTTCTCTGCTTCCTACCCAACACCTATTGTTTCCATGTTGTTAACTTGAGCCAGGTATGAAGGGATATTTCATTGTAGTTTAACTTTGATTTCCCTGATGATGAGTGATGTTGAGCATCTTTTCATGTGTCTGTTCACCATTTGGATATCTTCTTTGGAAAAATGTCAGTTCATGTCTTCTACCCATTTCTTAACTGGGTTACTTAACTTTTGGATATTGATTGAGCTTGACAAGTTCTTTATAGATTTTAGATACTAATCCTTTACTGGATATGTCATTTACAAATATTTTCTCTCATTCTGAAGTTTGCCTTTTAGTTTTGTTGATTGTTTCCTTTGTCATGCAGAAACTTTTTATCTTGATGAAGTTCCAATAGTTCATTTTTGCTTCTGTTTCTCTTGCTTCTGGAGATGTGTCTAATAAGAAGCTGCTACAGCTAATGTCAAAGAAGTTGCTGCTTGTGTTCTCCTCTAGGATTTTGATGGTTTCCTATTTTACCTTCGGTTCTTTCATCCATTTTGAATATATTTTTGTGTATGGTGTAAAAAAGTGGTCCAGTTTCATTCTTCTGCATGTCACTGCCCAGTTTTTTCAGGATCATTTGTTGAAGAGACTGTCTTTTCTCCATTGAATATTCTTTCCTGCTTTGTTGAAGATTAGTTGACTTATAGTTTTGGGTCCATTCTGGGTTTTCTATTCTTTTCCATTGGTCTATGAGTCTGTTCTTGTGACAGTACCATATTGTCTTGATGATTACAGCTTCATAATATAGCTTGAAGCCCAGAATTGTGATGCCTCCAGCTTTGCTTTGTTTTTTCAAGATTGCTTTTGCTATTTGGAGTCCTTTGTGGTTCCTTGTTAGGATTGTTTGTTCTTGCCCTTTGAGAAATGCTGGTGATATTTTGATAAGGATTGCATTAAATGTGTACATTGCCTTGGGTAGCATAGGCATTTTAACAATATTTGTTCTTTCAATCAATGAGCATGGAATCTTTTCCATTTCTTTGTGTCATCTTCAATTTAAAATAAAAGGAAATTTTAGTTTTTAATGTAATATCTTATTGTTTTTCTCTTTGTATTTGTCCTATAGCTTGTATTATATGTATCTATAGATATGTAAAGAATATATATCCTCTTGATTCTATTTCTGTTACATATGTATTTATAATCTATATAAATAATAATAACCAATGTATTGATTCTGTTTCCTTTATATGCATGTGCAGCAAATATCTGAGTTCCTGTGAACCAGTCAAATTGACCCATCACACTTTCTTTCTATGAGGAGCTATTAAGAATTAAGGGGGAAAGAGAAGAGAGAAGAAAAATGAAGCTATTACAAAGAAAAAGTAAACAGCAAACAAAAAAATTAAAGTGAAGTAGATATGATAGAAATATGAACAAAAGGTATAAATTAACAATTTTCAAAAGAGAAAACTCAAATGGCCAATAAGCAAAATAACTGACACTCATTTCACTATTAATGAGGAAAATGCGACAATAGAACATTTTATTGGATTCAGCAAATCTTGGTGCATGTGCACCAAGTATGTGCAGTAATGGAAACATTCATTTGTTGTTATTTGTGCTATAACTTGTACATCAACTTCAGACATGTAAACAGAGTTGTAAATTATGTTTGAGTGCAGCCAGATTGTGAGAATTTTTAGAACAATTTCCCTAGAAAGAATGAGATTAACACCCTAGGATCAGAGGGTGCTAACTGAACAAATATATAGACCAGGAGGGGCACGTCACACTAAGAACATGCTTCTGTCAGAGTAGCTTTCAGTAATAAAGGCTTCACATTTTACTTTGTGGATCCTTAAAGTGCCTACCACAAGTAGAGACTAATTTAGAGGTGCCAGTGCTATAATGTAACCCTCCTGCTTTGACAGGATCACCCCCTGCCACATCATGAGATTAGAAATCACTTTAATAAGAAGCTATATTATTAAAATGACTCTTTACAATCATAGTCCTAAGTAAGGGTGAGAAACTTTTAGTGATCTGACAGAGTCTTCTAATTGAAATATGAATAATTTAGAAATGAGTCAGACTTAGGAAAATTGAAATGGAGTGCAAGAATAATGTTTTCAGACCTGTGAATAGAAACATTTCAGCATAGACCTGTATAAGGCTGGGGTGTATAGAGGTGGGGAAGTGCGTATGGAAAGTACGTCTTAACACAAATCTAAAGAATCTTTTATCTCTTTCAGACTACAGGGAATCATAATCTCTTTAAATATAAGCTGAGACAACAGAGCAGAAGAGATGAGATTTCTTGGTGTCCTAGGGACAGACAAGGACAAAGGAGAAGGAGAAAGTTTCCCCAAGTCTTCAGATATTGCCGTGTCTCCGGGTCCTACAGCATACATCTCCCGAGTTAGCTCTAGTTTTTCAAATTTTTGATGACTATATTTTAAGTGTCACATTATAGCATGGAAGCCAGAATTTACTTAATATTATTTCTTGCTCACCAGTTTATACTATTTTTTTTTCACGTCAGATGGGTAATGTCCTGAGGTCGTGTAACAAGGTTTAAGGGAAACATTGTCACACAATGGCGTGAACATCCAATCAACATGCTTATGAACTACAAAAGGATTGTACAATTTTCATTAGTACTTTCACTTCACTTTTTTCTCACACACACACACACACACACACACACACACACACACACACATACACACAAGCTTTCATTATAATTAAAAGGGAAATGAAGGAATACAGCATTAATTGACAAATTCAAGTCTGGAAATAAACATTCATTATTAATCTAAATAAGTATTTTATTATAAGTACCAATCAAAATATTTCACATCAAAATGTTCAATCCTATTTAATTGGTGTTAATGAGCTATCTATCATATGAATGTGGAAATAGTGCTATATCTTATTTGCAATATTATTGTGAGGTTGGCTCTTATGGAGTGAAATCTTGTCAGATTTAATTGGTAGATAGTGCGTGTATCTTGAGGGAATCCTATAGGAATTAAATTTGTCTATCCTTTGAGGAACTGGCTGAAGCCATTTATGAATGCTTGACATTAATTGGCCTCTGATTTGGAGGAGGTTAGTTTTGTTCTTTGGGATTGATTGTGATTTCTGGGAAAGAAAATTAAGGATATCGTATCGGTGTATTATTTTCACTGTAAATTGATAAAACCAACTCAAAACTTCCTAAGCAAACCTCTTCTGCCTTAACTAAGAAGCCCAGGTGAGGGGATATTATGTTCTGCATTGTCACATCAGGGGTTCAAATGATGTCATCAGAACGTTTTCTCACTTGCACTCCCTTTCTCTCCATCTTATGGCTTTCCTTGTTTCTTCTATTTCTCTCCCCTATCATAAAAATTCTAGATAGAGGCATGCTTGGGTGGCTCAGTGTGGTTAAGCATCGGACTCTTGATTTTGGCTCAGGTCATGATCTCACAGTTCATGAGTTCAAGCCCTGCGTCAGGCTCTGCACCAACAGTGCTGAACCTGCTTGGTTTCTGTCTCCCTCTCTCTCTTCCCCTCCCACTGTGTACTCTCTCTCTTTCTCTCAAAATAAGTAAAAATTAAAAAAACAATCCCAGATAGAGTCTGACAATCCTTGTATTGTGTTCAGGCACATGGAATACCTGGATTGCCAGACGTGTTAGAGCTGCTTGTTGAATCACACGAAATAACCATGGGAACCCTCTCATGGCAAAACAGAGGGAGCCTGAGCACACAAAAGTAATAGACAATATCTCTTCTGATCTGTGTTAGGCATGTCTTTGTATTTTGATACCTTGAAGTGGTGGGGTCTTACTGACACTGGAATGGATTTGCTCCTCCCAGTGTTAGCTAATCCCTAGAGAGAGAAATCAATTCAGGAGAGAGGTTGCCATTCAAATGCAAACTAACCAATCAAAGCCCTTCCCTCCAGCCCTCATCAGGTTCTTACACTCCAGGTCAGTGGTTCCTGTCCTAATCTTGCCAGGGCCGGGTGTCATGCAACTCAGGTGAGCTCCTACAACCCAGTGCCCCTTGAAATTATTCAAACTAGCTGATTAAAGCCTATTTAACCTACCTCTCTTTCCTTCATTCAGATACCACAGCGAAGGCTCTTGCCCATATTTTATGCTTGTCCCTTCTGTCTCCTTACTGACACTGGTGCTTCCTCCTGTGGCCCTGCACAGTGTGGCATGTCACCTACATGTGAGTATAAATGTCTTCCAACATGACAGTTATTTCCATATCTGCATGTCCTGCTATACCTGATTAATAAAAATCCTGAGTACATTTTAAAATATAATCTTATATGCTTATATTTTAGATTCAAATTGATCAATTCATTCATTCATTATTTGATTATTTAATTGGTGTTTATCAAGAGCTTTGTTCTAGGTGCAAATATTATTATTTTGTTAACTTAAACCCATCTATTTGTTTACTAAAACCCATCTATTGGTATTTCAAGTGGCGCTTTTCCTCCATTATCCCTGTGTTAGTCAGGGTTCTCCAGAGAAACAGAATCAATAGGATATGTAGATAGATAGACTTTTTTTTTTTTTCTGGATATTATGAGGAATTGGCTCACATGATTGAAGAGACTGAGAAGGCTCCCAATTTGCTCTCTGTAAACTGGGATAACTGTTGTAGTTCCAGGTGTAGTTCCAATCCAAACCTGCAGGCTTGAGAACCAGAGAGACAATATGTAAATTCCAGGCTGAATCTGAAGCCTCAAGAACCAGGAACACCAATGTCTGTGGGCAGGAGAAGATAAGTGTCCCAGCCCATTTGTTCTTTCTCTACCTTTTTGTTCCATTTGAGCCTTCAGTGGATTGGATCATGCCTGCCCACATTGGGGAAGGCAACATTTTTACTTAGTGTACCAATTCAAATGCTTTTTTCTTCAGGAAACACCCTTTCAGACACACCCAGAAACAATGTTCAGTCAGCCCTCTGGATATCCCTTAGCCCAGTCAAACTGACACGTAAAATTAACTACCACATCCCCAAGTACCTTCTTTTATAGTATCATTTATTTTACAAGCTTTTTCAAGACTTTGGAAATTGTGGGGCATCTGGGTGCTCAGTCAGTTAAGCATCAGAAGCTGGATTTTGGTTCAAGTCACGATCTTGCAGTTATTCGTGAGATTGAGCCACACACTGGGTTCTACACTGCCAGCATGGAGCCTGCTTGCGATTCTCTCTCTCCTTGTCTCTTGCCCCTCTCCTACTTGTGGGCACTCCCATGTGGTGCCTCTCTCTCAAAATAAAAAAAAGAACTAAAAAAAAAGAAATTGTAAGATACAAATCAAAAGGAAACAGAGTGCAAGAGAGAGAGAGGGAGAGTATAAAACATTCTTTCAAAGTAAGTAGATTTATTAAATATTGTATTTTTGGTTTATATTTTTATATTTTTGTACTTAGTTTCAACTCAGAAACAAAATGCTGTAGGTCACTGAATTTTTTTGCCATTAAATAAATTTTGAGGTTTGAATAAAATTCTGCATTTAGTATTAGTTAAATAAAGTTTGGTTTTAACACACCATTTTATTTTTTTTTAATAATGTATGATAGAGTAAAGTTCTAAAATAGCCCATATAGTCCAGAAATTTGATCAAGAGTATATAATATCTGGGGGCACCCTAATAGCTCAGTCAGCTATGCATCTGACTTCCTAAGTGTCAGACTTCAGCTTGGGTCATGATCTCACAGTTTGGACTCCGTGCTAACAGCTCAGAACCTGGAGCCTGTTTTGGATTCTGCGTCTCCCTCTCTCTCTGCCCCTCCACAGTCATGTTCTATCTCTCTCTCAAACATAAACAAACAGTAACAAATTTTTAAAAACCACATAATATCCTTGTTAAACTTAACATCAAAATTAGTCTATAGTAAAGAAGCAAACACAGTAGGAAAGAATATTCTTCAAAAGTTACGGTGGGATTAATTTTGGAAGTGTTTTATTGGCAGTGAGTTTTGAATCTGATTTTGGAGGACAAGAAAAAGAGCAAATGAAAAGTTTGGGGAAGGTGTCAGTTTGGAGCTAGACAGAGTTATATGTTCTCTCTGTGTCCCAAATGTGGTCCCATCTGTATGGATGGATGGGGGTCCTCAGATGCAGAGAGATGATCAGGTGGAAGCCAATGGTGTGGTGGTGAAAGAATTCATCTGAGGCAGAACAAAGGAGATAGAAGTTTATTGAATATACCACAATGGAGCAGTGGGTAAGACCACAAAGGAGAGGCTGTTTGCAATGAGGCAATGGGTAAGGGTTGATTTTGAAAGGGGAAGTGAGGAGGTATGGCGACAAATGGAATTCTTCCTTTTTGGTAACTGTGCCTGCTTGTATGTAGCCCATTGTTCAATTAAAGCCTATGGATATCTTGAGGTGGGTCACCTGATGGACCTGTGTGCATTCAGCCAGGGGGTAGCTGTGGGCCTTTTCTACATTCCATTGCTCAAGTCTGTTTGCCTAAAAGCATCCTCTACACCAACTTTAACTCAAATCACTATTCACTATTAAAAAAGCATGGAAGAACTGCAGTAAGTGAGCTGACAATTCTATAGACATAGGTTTGAAGCTCTTTTAGTTTACGCTGGAAATGATGTGATCACAAAAACAAGGAATTTATTAATAGTAACAGAGAGCTTGGGACGCCTCACAATGGATTCAATGACTACCTGGTAGGTCATATTTAGAGACAGAACAATTAAGAAGAAGACTTGCAGAAATCTTACAGTAGGATGAGGGCCTTAAACAAAGGCCACACATGAAGCCGATAATGAAGATGAAGACTTACAATTTTGCAAAAAGCAGACCCCTTGAAGGTATGATGGAAATTAGAATCACATTAAATCACTTCCCTTTGAAGCAAGGTATTATCATACATCAAACATAAGATAAAAATATATGTGGAGTCATGCCTAAAGTCTAGTAGATAGAGTTAGATTTTGCCTCTCAAAGCCATCTGCTCATCAAACTTTGGCTTATCAGTCTGGCTTCTTGTGGTCAAATTCTGGAGACAGACCTGGCAACTTCAAAGTACATATCTATATATGAAGAACACAGAAGCTAGGGCGCCTATGTGGCTCAGTTGGTTAAGCATCTGACTCTTGGTTTCGGCTCAGGTCTTGATTTCATGGTTCATGAGTTTGAGCTCCACATGCTTGGGATTCTCTCTCTCTCTCCTCTCTCTTTCCCTCCCCCAGTCATGCTCTAAATAAATAAATAAATAGATAACCAAACAAACTTAAGAACACAGCAGGAGATATAATACTTCAATGGACCACTAGCACCAAAGAGTTAAGGAGAGAATACTCATCATCCAATTAAATGAATCATCCCTGTGGATTGAAACTTGTATTTTTTGGAACTGTACCTTAAAACTCAGTTGCACACACTATAACAAGGCAAGGACACCGAGGGGTAGGCATTCGGGAGGGAACTTGGCACCATTGTGGCCGGGCATATGTGTGCACTTGGCTATTGCCAGGAGAGTTTTCAGTCAGCCAACACTCAATAAAAGGAATAGAAGCAGGCTTGGCAGCATCACACTGGAAACCAGCAGAGGCTGTGCCAACTCTGGAAGCTGAGGCAAAGTCTGCAACAATAATTAAGTAGGAGCA